AGGACTGGTACTTAAGTAGAGCAGTGAACATCAATTTTCGTCCTCTTTTGCTAAGAAATCCTCGATTTACAGACTGGAAAAGTTTCCCAGCTGCTGCTTTTCGGGTAACCAGTTCTGTCTCAATGCCTCCATGCTGGTCTATTACAGCTCCAATGCATACTGTTTCCAACGTGATCTGGTGTTTCTTCTCCTCTCTTTAGATCACCATGGTTTTAGTTTTGGAGGTAATGATGGTAATCTCTCTCTCTTCTCAAGCTCTTCATTCCAGACAAGTAAGTTGGACTGAAGGTGTGCCTCTGATTTAGCCATCAGGGACACATCGTCTGCAAATGCCAGCTCTGATACACTGATTGGTCTCATCTTCCAGTACCCTACTGAGTACTTCTTTGTCTTTTTCTTACAGGTCTTGATGGCATTATACATTATAAGAATGAAGAGGTAAGGTAAGGTCATGTCGAACACCGCTAGTTGTCTTAATGTCTTTGGACCTTTGGTCTGCTGTTCTTACATAATTTCTGCAGGTTTTGTAGAAACTCTGTATTGTACTGATCAGGGGTGCTAAAATGTTTTCCCTGCCAAGCAGTCCCAGAGCTTGTTATATGAGACCCTATAAAATAATTTCCTTTTCTAAATTTAAAAAACAAACATAGGTGCTTCTCACTCTTATATTCAAGGACTTTTTCACTCATCTGTCGGAGTGTGAAATAAGGTCTTGAGCACTTCGATTTGCTCTGAAGCCGCATTTGGCCTGATCCAGCGGTGGTTTTGCCAGACTTCTCCGTCTCTACTCGAGAAATCTCGAGAAAATCTCTAACTTTTACCAGGAACGCCGAGATTTTCACAGTCTGTTATCACGCTTTTTCATTTCTGTGAATCCCAAGGAACGCATCATACGTTCATAGGTTCCTACCTAGAAGCCCAATGAACGCAAGATGTTCCGATGTTATGACTCTATTTACTACCCCATGGGCCTGTGATGCTTAACCACCTGGGACTCAAATAGTTAAATATAGGTATAATGATGGCAATCTCCCAATTTTTTTGGTATGGTTTTACTACACCAGCCCGCCTGAGGAACTTTTAAGAGAAGTTGCTCACTTGTGTCCCCCGTGTATTTGACCATCTCTGGGGTTATACCTTAATGTCCTGCTGCTTTCCCCAGCCTAATCTTCCCAATAGCTGCCTTCAATTCTTCCATCCGGATGTTATCTTCCCCGTGGATGATTTGCTTCTCTACAGAATGAGAAGAGAGACATTGGAAAACATCGTGACAACTGGAAATATCAGTGGACAAAGGGGCAGAGGCAGACCAAGAGAGATTATGCTGGATGGGCTGAAACGAAGGCATGGGGGGGGGGGATACCACCAAGAGAGCTGTTTCAGGCAACCAGGGATCGTGATCTGTGGAGAAACATGAGCGCCTACGCCAGTTGGCAGGACACATGATAATGATGATTAAGCAATGTATATTTGGCCTTTGTTCTGCGTGTCACATATTGTTTTTTATTCCTCTGTCTCTTCAGCAGTGTTTCTAGCCGCCAGGTATTGATTGCATGCCTTTTTCTTTGCTACTCTTTTCACTTTGACTTCTTCCGTCCACACAGTGGCCTTTGTCCCTTCCTTCCCCTTGGGACCTCACCGCTTGCTTCTACTGCAACTGCTGTGAGTATATTCTTGAATCTGCACCAGAGGGTTTCAGTGTCCTCTGACGGTTCTTCTTCAGTTCCTACTGCGTTCAGAATAAGCTCCTGGTATTTATCCTTAACCTATGACTCTCTTAGCTTGTATGCCGTAATCCTCATCCTTGGTTGCTTGGTTTCTGGCATGTCGATGATGCTTTGTTGGAGCAGTTCTTTCAGTTGTTCTCTTTATTGTGACGAGGTAGTGTTCACTTCCAATCGCTGGTCCTCTCGTGACTGTAGAGTCTCTCACAAACTTGAAGTAACCTTTCCTAACTATGGATAGTCGAATTTCTCATCATTCAAAGGCTCAATTTTTTTTTTTTTTTTTTGTAAATATAAGGAGGGCCTTCATAAAAAGCTTTCATTGACAGACAGAGAGAAATATTACACTTATAACTTCCTCCCTAAAATAGGATGCAATTTTTTGCTATTTTACCCCGTCTCGGCTGTTGCAGGGTGCCCTAATATAATCTAACCATTGAGCCGGGTTTCTGTGACTTGTATCCTTGTTATTCTCTTCCGATTGGTGGCACTTTGTGTTACCGGGTGTTTGTTGCTTGAGGTAAAGGTGGAGGGGTCGACTTCCTTGCTTCAGGTTTGATCACATATTGCTCAGTCTCTCTCCGCAGAACCGCTAGGGGTTCTGGATTTGCCAGGGGCTTGGAGAAATGTACCTATGACTTTCAGTATAATGATTTACCTCAGTTTTGAGACATACCCATCATTGTCAGTCAAATAAATTACATTAGGCTTCGTGCCATTTAGCAGTGATATTCAGTAGAATGATTTGCCTTCATTGACACGTGACTCTCTGTACAGAGATTTACATTGAACTTTGGAACTTTTAAGGTGATATTTACCTTGGGCTTGGAGAAATTTACCCGTAACTTTCTATACAGAGATTTACCTTAGTCTTGGAGAAATTTACTCGTGACTCTCTGTACAGAGATTTACTCTGGGCATGGAGAAACTTACGTGTGACTAAGGTTACAGATACTTACCTTCTACTTGGATATATTTACTCTCAGTATAGAGATTTACCTGGCGCTTGGTGCAGTGATACTAAGCTCATATTCTGCTTATGGATAAAGGTGTCCGCTTGATATTTTTACAAATGTGAAATTTATCAAATTTTCAGCCGAGCACGTAGGTTCCAGTCCCTATGGTGGTGGTGGGGATACACACACACACACACATACACACACACGTACATATATAGTAGGCTGGGTCGAAATCGAAGCCATTAAACATTTTAAGTCAAAGATCTGCTCTGATGGGGTTCGAACCAAAGACAATAGGGCTAGCATTTGAAACGTGGCCCCTATATTAACGCAGCTGCCAACTTTATATTTAACGTACCTTCAAACACTTGTTTAATCCAGTATCCTAGAGATACTAATCTCCGACTTGTGTCCGAATTTTAAGACACTGTTTCGATCCGTTCACTTTTATCACGGGATAATTCTCTGTGTCAGGGTTCGCAGTGATCTCTTTTCATCCAACTTGACCGTCTGTAATAGGAGATTTATTTAACTTTTCAAATTCCTTATAGTAGTAATACAGTCTATTTAACACTTACACAACCATGGATGACGTTGAACACGTGCAGTTATCTGGTGTGCAGTTTTGCAAAACATTACTAAAAGTTCTTATATACTAGAAGTAATCTAAACCATACCATGTGTGTGCGGTGTGTGTGTATGTGAGTGTGTGCATGCGAGAGAGAGAGAGAGAGAGAGAGAGAGAGAGAGAGAGAGAGAGAGAAAGGAGAGAAAGAGAGAGAAGAAAATCCTAAGAAGATCACCCAACAATCTATGACCATTACATTTGAAGTTTGAACAACGGATCAACATTATGGCGCTTGCGCAATAAGCCATAAATGCTCCGTTCTACTCCTAACTCAAGTCTGAATCTAAAGTAGCTCACCAGAGTGCACCGGCTCCGTAGCCCCGGCGAAGATCCTGAAATAATTTAGGTATATTTTCAACTCCAAATTTTGCCCTGTCAGCACCGTTAGGCTACTCTTTTCGATTTCCAACTGCTAAGGAATTGTTTACGTCTGCAACAATAAACACAGGCGTCCGACCTCACTACCCAGAGACCAAAAAATCTCAGCCCCCACCGCGGCCTAAACCCGGGACCTCCATACCTCGAGACCACGCAGCCCCCCCCCCTCTCCCCAAACCTATGTAATCAAGGAGTCAAAAATGTTCCCCAAACGACTTCACAGGGTCAGCACATTTAACGGATGCAAGAAAAACAGGGGTTTTCTTAACATAGATTAGATGTGATTTTTGAAAAGTGGTAAAGGGACGTACACGATTATGTAACGGTGTTGAGTTTCGCAGAGACTGGTTGTGTCAGTCAAATTATGAATGCTAGTAAACTAGAGGCTACTTTGCGATAGGAAAATGTGAGCTCGCAGAAAATATATTGATATTGTAACCAATGGATTATAAATAATGAAGAGAGTTAACATATCATATATTGTACCTAGGCTAGTATCAGTATTGAAATGTACGCCAACCAGGGCTAGTGTAAACACTAGAGGCCACCCCAGTTCTGTGTATCTGTTTATTTCCTTATAGTGCTCAGGAGATACACCCAGCCAAACCCTTCCTAGACAGCAACCCTCGAGCCATGTATGTGTTAAGGGAGGACACTCGCGCGACCCTAAGCTTTACAAGTCTGACAGGCCATTGTCAGACTCTGCGAGTACCTTGACACGTAGTCTCCACATACCATGGGTTTGCTGACCAGTAACCAACCGGCTTTCGCCAGAGGGCTGAACGAAGACGCTACATCACAATTTCATTATAAGCCGAACTTAGCACACTAAGCAATTTCTCCATTGTTGCATGTTTCTGAATAGTATATTTAAACTTTGCTTGAAATAAATTATTCTATCATCTTTTGCATGTAACAAAGTTATATATACATACGAACACACTTTATAGAATATATTTCTCTATAAATCCCCTTTTTATATTTTCGAAGATTTACATTTCTTGCAAGAGATAAGGGACTTTAAATTTGTCACGTTATTATCGAACTTGACATCAACAAATTGTGCACGGTTATGTACCTTATTCAACCATGGTTTGGACAAGCGAGTAGATTACCGCTAAGTTAATTGTTTCTGACTAATGGATTTAATCATGGCAGAAAATACAATATTATATTGTATGTTGCATATTAGAAGATAGACATAACTACCAACGCCACACGACATGAACTTTAGGAAGAAATGAATGATGCGTTTCGTAACCATGAGCTCGGCTCTCAATTTTCTAGACAGAGTTGCAGTTCTTGTCCAAAATGGCTGCGTCCACAATGTCGGATAAACCCAAATCTAAAACAACGGGGAAAGAAGAAAAGGGCCCCGTTAAAGTTATCAAAACGCCCATTGATCTACAGAGGCTCAAATTAGAAAAACTCATGAAGAATCCTGTAAGTAATAAATGTCGTTAATGCCCCCGGAGTACCCCTTTTTTATCAACTAAAATGTTAAAAATGTCCCGGCCTGTTTGACAGGGGCTGCGCCTCTTGAAGTCAGCGGGGAGCAGCCCGTGGTTTTGGACTTTTTGTGACCACACAGATAGGTACATCTCCTCAATCGATATCAATTTTAAAACTAATAACTAAATTATGATAATTATCAGTTGAAATTAAAATTAAAATACGACGCAATTTACTTAGTTACTCTTGTCAAATTTTTAAAATGCCCTCTACACCAATAAAACCAGCACAGTTAGATAGCTGTAAACAATCTCTTTCCAACGGTACCTCATTTAGGCTTGTATGTCATTTCTGAGCTGAGATATGTCGGATTTTGTGGAGATGATATGTAAAAAAAAAAAACAGCTGCTAAAACTTTTCTCCCAGAAACAAGAAGTTTTCTCTGCGCAACCAAACTGCGCAACTTTTGTTTTGGCTTTGTTTACATTGGACTGTCATTGGACAAGATGGCAGCCAATGACGAATGAGACACAGCCACATAATAGCGATTGCTTAAAAAATGTCACTGTAAATCTAACTAGCCACTGACAAGAAAGAAATTTTATACACAAATGTAAAATTGGACGGAGAATTCAATTATAACTAGCATTACCATGTTTAGTAACAGTTAAAGCCTAAGCCAACCTTGAATACTAAACCGCTATTTTCAATCAAACTGATGTAACAGAAAAACAGAGGACGTCCGGCTGTCGTACACATGCGCTGTTAATCGGGTTCCTTCCTGCCGTTTTCAGCTTTTTATACTGGTGAAAATCACACCAATCGCAAAATTTCATGAGAGATTAGGACCCATCCCGAAACCCCAGCCGACATTTCCGAAGCAAGTTTCAAACGGTTTCCATGGTAACGGAAATTGCCAAAAAGATCGCAAATTTCCGAAACTAGTCGCTAATTTACTAATTAATTTAATGAAACTTAACTTCGTAAACTTTGTTGATTATTTTCCCAAGGTTCCTTTAATTTAATATGCATTTTTACTATCTGCATTTTATGCTTTATTCTAGAATATTGCAAAATTGTTCATAGTTATAATAATTTAGAGTGAGGAAATGAGGACGTCCACAAACAACCAGCCAAAGCGAATGACGAAATTATCGAGGCAGAAAATAGAAGAATGCTTAGAATACCTTGGACAGCCAAAAAGAACAACCAAGAGGTTTTAAAAGAGGCGGGAGCCCGAAGACAAACTTATCACAGACATCAGAAGGTGACAGTCATCATTTTTTCAGCCATGTTATGAGAAGAGGGAAAATAGAACATGTTGTGACCACTGGAAAGATCTGTGGAAGGAGGGATAGAGGAAGACAACGAGAGAAGATGCTTGACAGTCTTGTTGCATGGCATTGGAGGGGTGTTGGCACACGAATTGATACATGCTGCAGGAGATCGCAGAATATGGAGAGGCATGATCGCCCACGCCAGTCGGCAAGGCCCCTGATGATGATGATGATTTGGAAGATAGCCCATAATTGAAACATAAAATAATTATAAAAGTACTCGGTATTATAGAGGAAAATACTTTTCAGTGCTGAGGTTTCAGTGACATATTGATTAATTATTAGAAATAAAATAATAATAAATATTGTGTGTATTGAACATATATGAAATGGTGATGAAAGAGTGACTTGTATTTAAATTGATAAAGAATTGCGCAGTGTCATAGATCTCACTCTCTTGCCTGAGTCATATCTGGGTCCAGTGGCAAGACAAAGTCAGGATGACTGGAGATATGTCTAGGTGCAGTGGATGACCAGGGCATTGTACCTGCCTTGCCATGTTCTCCGCAGCGCTTTGCTAGTGTCGCCATCTTGCCCGTTGAACCAAATGTGGTTTACTCCACGCATTCTGCAGACAGTAGTTTTTGCATGCTTGGATAGACAGATCCTAACTCACCGATGGTTAAAACAAATTGGCTACCCTCACCTAGTTTTGCCGGCCCAAAAGGGGGGGGGGGGAGGGGGCGGGCGCTGTCGCAATAATAAATATAATGTGCAGTGAACAATGATTTAACCAGAAATGCACTTACATTTATATTTATCCAAGTATCAATCAGTTAAAATCATAATAATTGAATAATTAACTAGTCACTATTCTTCTTTTTCTTCTTCTTTTTCTTCAGCATTCCGAGCCCTTGAGGTTCATTGCTGCAAATATCATCCGCCTCCACTCATCTCCCTGGTTGGCCTTCTGTTTCCAGTTGGCGAAACCAAGTGTTTGCAGGTCTGTCTGGACATTATCTCTCCATCGTCTTCTTGTTCTATTATTATTATTGTTATTAAAAGTACCAGGTTTTGAATGTTAATTTTTAAAAAAAAATGTAGTTGGTAACAGTTTTGCTCCATGTTGCTGCTGATGTAACATTAACTTTTGCTGTCCCTTGAGGGTTATATGACTTACTGTGAGTAAAGGTAAATTTACCTTCAGGTGTATTAGGCGTATAGGACTAGACCTATATTTGAAGGCCAGTTGGCACTCCGTGGATGATGTGTGTCAACATCATAGCAGCAGCCTTTACTTCCCACAGCTATACCTTGTGCCCACTCAAGGCTGGGTCTGCGAGTAACAGTTCAGTATGATTGCTTTCTTGTAAAATAATACATTTAATGACGAGCTTATTATTTTTTTTTTCAGAACAAGGAAATCGTAATTCCAGAGAAGTCAAAGAATAAATCCCTAAGGCCGCCACTAGAATTTATCCGTAATATTTGGGGTATGTGCTCTACGTTGATGGCTTGTAAATTTGTGGCTTCTCTGCTTCCTTCTTCCTCTTCTGCCCTGAATCCCTCACTTCCGCTCATCCTATTCTTTGCTGTTGCATACAGCTCAATTCCTATATTTTGTGACCAACTCTCATCACATTTCTTTGCTTGTTTCTATAGCATGATACCTAGAGGACCAGGATACACTTCCCCATGTTGTTGTGTTTTTTGTCAATAAAAGCCATTGCCAGTGTGTGTATTTTTCCCTTTCCCACCTTCATTAATAATCTTAGTCACAGTTCAGTAGATTAATTTCCTGATAGTGGTATATCAGATTTGATTGATGTACCTAGAGGTGATGTTTGTAGTATCTCAGATTTGATTCAGGTACCTAGAGGTGATGTTAGTGATATCTCAGACCTGGTTCAAGTACCTAGAGGTGATGTTAGTGATATCTCAGACCTGGTTCAAGTACCTAGAGGTGATGTTTGTAGTATGTGTGTGTACCCCGAGATCATGTTAAAGGTGTGTTAGTTTATATATTGAATGAATGATGATGTTAGTGGTATGGGAGACTTGATTCAAGAACCTAGAGTTAATGTTAGTGGTATGTGAGACTTGATTCAAATACCTAGAGTTAATGTTAGTGGTATGTGAGACTTGATTCAATTACCTAGAGTTAATGTTAGTGGTATGTGAGACTTGATTCAAATACCTAGAGTTAATGTTAGTGGTATGTGAGACTTGATTCAATTACCTAGAGTTAATGTTAGTGGTATGTGAGACTTGATTCAAATACCTAGAGTTAATGTTAGTGGTATGTGAGACTTGATTCAAATACCTAGAGTTAATGTTAGTGGTATGTGAGACTTGATTCAAATACCTAGAGTTAATGTTAGTGGTATGTGAGACTTGATTCAAATACCTAGAGTTAATGTTAGTGGTATGAGAGACTTGATTCAAGAACCTAGAGATAATGTTAGTGGTATGTGAGACTTGATTCAATTACCTAGAGATAATGTTAGTGGAATGCTAGTTTATATACAAAATGAATGATGGGATGGGGTTATCTTATGTCCAGTTTAGTTCATGTACCAAGAGATGATGTAAATATTATGTCACACTTGCTTTGTCTGTGTTTCAGGTTCAAGTGCTGGTGCAGGCAGTGGTGACTTCCATGTTTATCGAGGAGTCAGGCGACGAGAGTATGCCAGACAGAAGTTCATCAAAGAAAAAGCAGAGAAGGTATACTGTTTGTTCACAAGTTTGACTTTCCCTGCCAATCTGAGGCTGTTAATTGTATACCAGACTGCATGTGGGGGCAATGTTTCAATTTAAAGTGAAAGCACATGCCCGTTAGCCCTGATAGCACACTAGTTAAGTATTTGCCTGATGGTCTAAAGTTTGAATCCACACTAACACACATTTGTTTAATTATTGTCTTTGGCAGACAAGTTGATTCAGTCTAAGTATGTGCCAGGAAAAGTCCTGGGAGGCAAAGTTGGCCGATATGATATATTTTTTGTATGTTATTTATTATTCTGTGTCTCCTTGTTTCCCCCCTTCGTTCAGTCCCTTAGGACCACTTCTATTTTGCCTAAGAAAGTTGCTGAACATAAAATGGCAAGACAGGATCCCTGACACTGAAGTCCTTGACAGAGCTGGACTGTCCAGTATTTACTCTATTTTAAAACAATCACAACTTTGCTGCGCAGGTCACATAGTCTGCATGCCTGACCACTGACTGCCAAAAAGAATTTTCTACGGTGAGCTATTAAAAGAAAAATGCTTTGAAGGTGGACAGAAGAAATAATTTTAAGGACAGCCTCAAGACCTCACTGAAAGACTTCTGTGTCGATCCAAAAACCTGGGAAGTCGCTGCATTTGACCGCTCATCTTGGCGCTTCTCTCTTCATCGAGGAGCTGTGGCCCACGAAGCTGCTAGAACTGCAGCAGCAATTCAGAAAAGACAAGCCAAGTAAGACACTGAAGCAAATCACCAGAGTGATGCAATTTCTATTCCCTGTCCGCATTGCTCAAGAACTTTCAGTACTAGAATTAGCCTTATCAGCCATCTGCGCACTCACAAGAACTAACGCAGTCACCATTGGATGAAAGGGGTGGTCATCATCACTTGTGATGGACAAACAAACTTCTATTTTTGGGTAGTCAATCCAGCATTACGACCTGTTGCTCATCCCTGAAAAGTGGCTAAACTGATACTGCTGCATTGGCCAGTTACCAGCAAGCCTAGTTAATAGTCTTGGTTCTGTTTGTGTCTGTGCAGTGTTTAGGAGTTAGTTGTATATCCTTTACAGGTCATTGCAGAACCAACTCCAGCATTTTTTGGCTGTTGTGATTTTTCTAGGCAAATTTTACGTTGAGTAGTTTGCCTTTGCTTTCTGAACAGTCAGCTGTGGGTGCCACTGTTTGAACCCGACACCCTGACTTTATGAAGCACGTTCACAATGCCTAAGCTGCAGACGTGGACATCAGGATGTGGGTAGATCAGTGGAGGACATGTCACCATGTATGGCTGTTGCCTTCTCATCTGAAAACCTCTGGTAGGGAGTATGAAAAGAAGAAAAAGACATCCCTGTGCAGTGTCTGTTGTGTGATTATGTTTTTGCTGTAATAATTTATAGTTAAACTCATTTTGATTATAGGAAGAACAAGATGAGGAATACAAGAAGAAATTAGAGGCACACAAAAAGGAAGCAGAGGAGAGAACTGCCAAAAATCGGGCAAAAAGGTTGGTGACTGCTATGTTGAGATTTTTAAAGTCTGTCTCCTTCTTTTTCCTTTGTTTGCTCGAAATAGATTATCTATAATGTTGTCTTTAGTATGAACTTCACTGTCATAATTCAGTCAGCGACCTATAAAGCTTGGCTTGCACCGATCTTTCTAGTTTTGCCTTGATATATTGTACCTGGGACAGTCTTGGAGGATGTGATCTGTTGTCTCAGGTGCTAATCTACATGTAGACATGGCTGATTCGCCAATCTTAAATTTTATTAAAGTTTGTGTCATCTAGACTGAGCAAGGATGATCTTGGGCAGTCTACTGTCCTAGTGCTGGTTAGAATTTTGTGGGCTTCCGTCTAAAATATTTTCATCACATTACTGGGAATTTGATATCTGTGGCAGCAAAGGAGTAGAAAGAAAGAATGGCCAATTCTGGCTTTATATATGAGAGTCAGTCAACAGATAGTATCAGCATTATAAAATCCCATCAGGTTGAGCATTCAGCAGGACTTTGAAGGACTCATTCCTGCACACAAAAAAACAGAATAGACCCATTGCGGCCTAACAAACATATCATAAGAGTTGACTAATTAGGGGTTTCCTTCAAATTCAGAAAGCATTTGCCTAAGACAAGGAGCCAACAGTCTGCACACAAATAAGCCAGATTTGTAAACAAATGTGCACACAAAACTCAGGTTCTGGAACAAGACTGCAGCTTTCTGATGGAGTTTACAGACGCTGACCGTGAAGAAGAAAAAGGAATCAATATTTTTAGTTTGAATGCAACAGTGTATTTATCGAGTTTTTGCAGATTTCTTCTACATCTTTAAGAATTTGTAAATTTGATTTTCTCCAGTTGTGCTTCTTTGTAGCGATTAACGAATAAAGTTCATTTATTTAGAGCAGAGCATGGGAATAGATCATTCTTGTGGCTTTCAAACAGTGGTACCAAATATGAGGCCTTAAGGGCCAATAGGACACCAGAACACAAAATAACTACATGTGAAATGCACTGTCTCCACGAGATCACTAACAGCACAATAAGAGACTGGGTTACAAATACCAGGATTAGAGAGAGAGTCAGAATAAGACAATGTCTGGATTATATTGACAGACAAAGAATGAAATGTTTCAGCCATCTAGTGAAAATGCAGCCAGACCAAACTGCATATGAAACTTTTTACATCAAAACATCTGTGAGGAAGGTGAGAGGAAGACCAAGAAAGAGATGGATAGATGGTGTAGGAGAAACCTGCAAAACGGTGAACAAATCCAGCATGCAATTTACCTGAGAAGCGCAAGACAAATACAGAAAACAACGAAAGTGGTCTACAACCTGATACCAGTGAGACAACAAAAGAAGAAGAGGATATTTGATTCTTTCGTAATATCTTACCCCCAGATGACGTCACAGGACAGCTCAACATTTTAGAGTGTTGTAAGACTGGGTTTCCTGGCTTTCTGATGCTTTTAATGACCCTAAAACATCTAGAACTTGCCGTAATCGCACGCGAGAGTGCAGTCTAGGTCCCACAACTGCATGCAACCTAGGTCCTACCACTGCATGCAGCCTATCTACCATCCCCTGACCTGTGGATTTCCCCTGTTTTGGGTAGGATATTACGAAAGCATCGGATATTATAAAACACATTATGTTATTTTATGTTATCACAATCGACATCACTGCACATTGGGCATTCCCATGCGTGTTCAGTCCTCAGATGCAGCAGCCACTACAAAGTACTTCTACTAATTGTTCCCATGAGAAGCTGGTTATATTGTCTCCTATCTCAGCCTTGAAGACGGCATAGACGTTCTTCACCATGCTTTACTCTCATGTCACACTATCATGTTAGTGTCAGGGATTCCTCATTATCCACTATTCCAGTTCCTACAGCGTTGATGATATCTGCTCTGTCCATGCTTTTTCTCGCAATCCTTAGTGCAATGCTTGCCAGTTAGTCCGCTTGCTCATTTCCCTTTACACCTGCATAACCTGGTGTGTAGATCCAGGTTACAGAGTTAAGTTGCGATTTTTGAATGCTTTAAGTATGTGGCTTTTATCACGGCATGTCTGAAAGTCTCCCTTTCTAAAACCAGTTCTCCAGTTCTATCTGCTTTCATATCAAGTACATTTCATTGTCCTGTATCTAGCTTCACAGACGTCTCCCTCTGCCTCCTTTTTTTGGAAAGTGTGCCCTCTGTCACTGCCGTTTTCCCACCAAAAGATATCATTGAATGCAGATATCAACTTTAGCCAAAATCCATGGTGGAGACGGCACCAAAAAATATGTTCATGCTTTGCTGGGAACTAAGTTAAAATACAAATATATGAAACTCGGCCCTTGTTGCAGCGTTTGTAATGATTTATTTAAATATCTTCGCAGATTAACAAAAGAAGCAGAAACTCAAGGCTAAAAAAATTCAAGAAAAGCAAAAATGACTCAGGTATTTAGTTTTTTTTAGTTTTAGCATATGCTAGTGGTTGTTGAATAACTTCAGTCTTAGTTGAGGTTTTAACATCTCCCCGATCGGGTTTTCCCATACTTGCTCAATTCTTGCCAGTGTAAATGAAATGAAATTTCCCTCACTGTCGCATTTAAAAAACTGGTGAACAAACAATTAGTCCCCGAACAATCCAGATGTATGTGCATGCAGTAAATGCATATTACAGTTGCTAAAGGTGCAGAAGAATAACTAAAGACATGGAACAGAAGTTATTTGCTTTTAAAAACAAAATGTCAGAGGAAATTAGTGAACAGTCAATGGGATGATTTCAAGAAAGTGAAGATATAGGAGAAAAGCCTAAACAACCACTGGAATCAACACTTAGAAGATAAAAAAAGTTGTGCTATATTTGGCACATCCTGAGAATAAGTGAACAGAGAACCATCAGACAGGCACTGAAATGGGAAACAAAAGGATTGAGCAAACCAGGACACCCAAGAAAAACCCTGATAAATGTTTGTGAGAGAGGTGACAGATTGGACTCTGTCCATTATATTGAAGGGATTTCTCAGAATTTAATGGTTCCCATTAAATGTTTCAGTAACATTTTTTTTTCACAATTACTGTCAATTTTTAGAAACATGTTTTAGATAACACTTTATCTCATTAGATTAATTAGCAACACAGTATCTTTTTAAGTTTTTACCCATCTTTTGAGCAAATATTTCATGTAAAAATTCATCCCCTTAAGTTATTTAGTAGCGAATATCTTTGGTATTTTTACCCATCATTTCATCAAACGTTTTATGTAAAACTTATCTTCTTAATTTATCTAGCAGCAACATATATTTAATATATTTGACCCATCTTTTTACCATACTTGTTTTAGATAACACTTTATCTCATTAGGTTAATTAGCAACACAGTATCTTTTTCAGTTTTTAACCCATCCTTTGATTAACATTCCAGGCATTAAAAAAACATCATCCCTTTAAGTTATTAGGAGGAGAGATTCTTTATTAACTGTCTCATCTGTTGACCAAACATTTCAGGTCAAACATCATCAGGAGATGATGCTGAAAGTGGCAGTTCTGAGGATGAGCAGGAGGATAAACCACCTTCACAAGCTGAGGATAAGCCATCTTCACAAGATGAGGAGGAGGAGGATAAGCCATCTTCCCAAGCTGAGGAGGAGGAGGATAAGCCATCTTCATAAGCTGAGGATGAGACTTCTGCTGGGGGACCAGCTCAAGCTATGAATTCTGAGGGATACTGAGAATTTGTTGACTGGTTGCCTTTAACTCCCATGTGAAAACTCTGATGACTCCTACATAAAGTGTCAGCAAACTATTCATAGACATAGTTTTTTTCTTCTTCTGACATTTATTCTTTTTGTTCATAAGCTGTAAACTCCGCCATTTCTTTTTTTTTGTTCACAGGTTGTAAACTCCATCAGAAAGTTTTAGTTTTTGTGTGTCTACCTCTAGGTTTTAGTTTTATTTCAGTGTTTGAGTTCTGCATTTTACAGATCTGAATTATTTGTATACCGACTGTTTATTCCTCCTCTCTCAAGCAGTTGCACTCCGACTTTGAAGAAGAGACCCGTAATAAGTCTATTTTTGCGACAGGCTTGTTACAAGGGAAGTAGGTTTATTCCCCCCCCCCCCCCCCCAACCACATTGGGACCATGAAACAAAACTCAGGGAGGGCAGTAGCATTAAAAAAAAGCATATTAGGAATTATGTCACCGGGGCCCTTACTGGAAGCAAAGAATAGTAACACAGAACCCTACCAGGCATGTCGTCAAGGGCGACCAAGGGTAGGGCTGGGCGTGAGGTTGGCTACCTTATCGTGTAAAAAACAATAGCCCACAAAAACCAACCAATCATGGAAAAGTATGATTTGACATGAGTTGGTTGAAGGGCATATGCTCATTTGGGGGGAGGGGGGGGGGGGGTTAGAAAGGCAGTAGAAGAATTAGGGATTCAGTGATTATAGTTTGTTTCCTTCTATCCCTGTGTTCAGCATTTATCCAGTTGTTCCACTACCCAAACTGTCTCCTGCTTTCTCTTTCGATCTCATCATTGCTTTCTCTTGCTGACATAACTCTTTTATATCTAGGCCACCTCTTTGTGCTCTGAAAACTCAAACAAACAGTAGTTGGTCGAACACAGCTTATAGTCAAAGGTAAAAGACCAGATAGCAGATGAGAATAGTCTACAGATTCTTGTAACAGATGTGACTAGGTGACATAATATAGAATCTGGTAATGATAAGAGACTAGTTGACAGAATATAAAATCTTGAAAGAGATGAGAGACAAGGTGACAGAATATATAGAATCTTGCAACAGATGAGAGACTACTTGACAGAATATAGAATCTTGTAACAGATGTGAGACTAGGTGACAGAATATAGATTTCTTGCAACAGATAAGAGACTAGATAACAGAATATAGATTTCTTGTAATAGATGTGAGACTAGGTGACAGAATATAGATTCTTGAAAGAGATGAGAGGCAAGGTGACAGAATCCTGAAAGACATAAGACAAAGTGGCAAAATACAGTATGAATTACAGGATGTAACATTTTGCAGGAGATTTGACAAATTTATAGACTACATCTTCTTGCAAGAAGTGTGTGAATACCTGGGGCACTGAGCTGTGATGTGTTTATTATAGGAAAAGAGGATTACACATTTGCTTTTGTGCTGATAAACAGTGCATTGTATGAAATAAATGTTTTTTCATGTTGGTTGCTTGGTAAAATGTGGACACTAAAGCTGTACATTTGTAAATAAATTCTGTGTGTATATTCATATCATTACTGTTTTAAATTAATTTTGTTTAGTTGAAATAAGATGATTAGTCAGATTATCTACACAGAACTCCGGACACATTCACAGGTGCTCTGATATCCCCTTCAACATATTCATCAGTGTTGTGCCAGTCCTTTGTTGGTTGACAAGACTTTTTTGTGCATCCCATGTGCTTCTCATGCTTGGCTGTGCTGATCTTTATTGTCAGTTCTTGTATTCTTAGCTGTGATGTGGACACATTGCTCCCAAAATCCTTGGAACATCATATTTCTCAAAGGGCATTGACAATGCATGCATGATCCATGGGCCGGCCATCTGCAGTTAATGCGGAACTTGCCAGTCTATCAGTTCTTTCATTGCCAACAACACCTGCATGCCTATAGAATCACTCAATGTGGACACATTGCTCCCAAAATCCTTGGAACATCATATTTCTCAAAGGGCATTGACAAGGCATGCATGATCCATGGGCCGGCCATCTGCAGTTAATGCAGAACTTGCCAGTCTATCAGCTCTTTCATTGCCAACAACATCTGCATGCCTATAGAATCACTCAGAACAAACACATGAGAATAGTCCTGTGATTCTAGCCACATGAAAGCTAACATAATTAGTTATCATCAGCAAGTTCCTTGCCTGGTGGCCTAAACATTCATGTCTCACACAGATTTTGGTATTTCAGGTCAGGTCCATTGATGGTATTTCTTGAAACATTTGGCACCATATAGACCTGTACAAAACATTTGGTACCATATAGACCTGTACAAAACATTTGGTACCATATAGACTTGTACAAAACATTTGGTACCATATAGACCTGTACAAAACATTTGGTACCATATAGACCTGTACAAAACATTTGGCACCATATAGACCTGTACAAAACATTTGGTACCATATAGGCCTGTACAAAACATTTGGCACCATATAGGCCTGTACAAAACATTTGGCACCATATAGACCTGTACAAAACATTTGGTACCATATAGACCTGTACAAAACATTTGGTACCATATAGACCTGTACAAAACATTTGGTACCATATAGACTTGTACCAAACATTTGGTACCATATAGACCTGTACAAAACAAGCTTGGCATACTCTGGAATCATCTTCCACGGTAAATAAAAAATATGGCTCACCCATTTACTTGCTGTCAGAAACTATTTGAGTATTTTTTCATTACAGACTACATGCTGCCTTAACAGAATTCAGGTGTACTATATATTTACACTAGATTTATACCATGGAATAATGTATGAAAGGAGCTAGGGCAGAATGTAAGATGGGCCTGCATATCCAGTTCCTAACAGTTTAAAAATACAGTCCGTTCATGTCATCCTCTTTAGATCTGAGATTTTGAACAACGGATCAACATCATGGCACACGGGTGTAACCCATATGTGCTCCGTTCTTCTTCTAATTCAAGTCTGATTATCCTATATCATTTGGGAAATGAACAGGCAGATAGACTGGCTGGTTTCTACACCACTGGGTTACAAACTGATGCATGAACAGCTGTATATTGTAGTGGTCCTTTAGGGGTGAGTGAACAGTGTGGAGACACAATTATCTAAACATGGTCTGAAGAGAATGGTACAGCAAGGAGTGACCAGGAGATGTTGCTGGCACTCAACACAGGGACTGCTACCATCTGAATTGGAACTCTGTGCTTGCTGCTGAAGATGGGGAAGGAGTGCTTATGGGAATGTCCTGAGTGCTGTTATGTTGGATCCTGACTCATAACTGTTATTTCTCACTGTCTCTGTTTCTTTTACCGTTGTATTTTCCAGATGTATTACTTTCAGTTGCTTCTTCCAGGAAGTCTTTGTTAGTTCATATGTCTTTGCTGGATATATAAAACATTTGTTTCAAAAACAACCCTCTTTTCTTTCCAGACTGCCGATTTGATGATCTTTCCTGCCATGATGCCTAATTACCCAGCTTTTTCTTAGTCCTAGCCGAGGTTTCAACTGCCCTGTAATTGGGTCACCCCAAACTTGCTCTGTTCCTGTACCAGTGAAAATCAAATGAAATGTCCCTCACTGTCCCATTTGAAAAACTGGTGAAAAAATTAGTCCTAGCACAATCAGCTTCTTCTGCCTCTCTTCCTCTCCAAGTTTCCAGATGTCCTCATGTTTTCTGTTTTTCCTTTCACATGATCTCACTAAAGAATGCCGAATGTCTCCTTGTAATTTTTGTAATCAGTTATTTTTTAGAGTTCATTTCTTTCGTAACATCTTCATTTTTCTTTTTATCTGTGTTGAAATCATCATCTTCTTCTTTTGTCCTACCTACTACTTATGCTCTAAAGTGTTGCAGAGAGGAGTTTGATATAGTGTCCTGGCTTTTGCTAGTTGCATATCTTGTGTTCATGTCATACTGTGTTCTGTAGTGTCTCTTTTACTCCCTCCACCCATATCTTTCTTGGTCAGCCTCTTGACCTGTAGCCGACTGTAGTACAGCAGAATATTAACTGGCTGATTTTGTCCCATTCTGACCAGATGACCAAACCATTTCATGTTTTACGAAATAATTTACTGATATTATGCCTACCATTTCTAAATTTTTAATTGGTGACTTTCTTCTTGTTTTTCCTGCTGCATACATCTCATCTCACATGTGTTGTAATCGTTTGTCTAAAAAAAAACATCTCTACAGTTTCACACATCTGTAAAATGGATGTGCATCCAAGACTCAGGCACAGCAACAAGACAAAATCCAGAGGTCGAGGAACAGCTAGAATGTTCTCCAAGAGTTTACAGCTGGTTCATTTGTAGAAAAGAAGAGGGAGTTATTTCTTCTATTTATCAAAGAAGAAGTTATTTTTCCTATCCATCAGCTAGAGAAACATTCTTAGAATTCCAATTGTAACCTAACGCTGCTGCCCGGGCAAAATTTGGAATAAAAAATCTACCTAAAGTATTTCAGGATCCTCGCCGGTGCTACAGAGCCAGTGCACTGTGCTGAGGTTCTTCGGACTCAAGACTCGAATTAAAAGAAGAAAGAGCACTTATGGGTTACTACCCGTGTGCCATGATGTTGACCCGTTGATCAAAAACCTCTTAGAATTCCATAGACTAAGAAAAAGAATGCCAACATCCTACATGATTTGAGTATTGAGGAGAATTGGCTCATAAACAGCAGCCTGTCTCAAAAGCTGAGGTATTTTGACCTTGTCAAACATCATGGTGGCCTGAGGTAATTTGACCTGGTCAAACATCATGGTGGCCTAGAGAGAATGGTGAAGGAGAGCAGCTTTAAGAAAACGAGGTAGAGGCTGACCTCTTCGAAGCTGGATACAAGACGTTGAAGATGCATTGGCTATGAAAGCACATAGTGCTGGAGAATTTTTTGCAGAAAGACTTTCAGGCCTGCTGTGCATTTTGTAAAGGACTGCAAATTGATATAATGAATGGCGACATGGAAGCTAAATTACCCACCCACACCGGATTACATGTTAGCAGCCACTGACAGCCCCACTGTAGCGTTGTCATACAGCTGAATAGGGTTTCTGAGATTTGTTCCTGTTTGATTCTCATCCTTAAGATGTCAATAATGTGGACTAAAGGAGAGCAAAAAGCACTACTACATGTTCAGACTTATTTTGTTTTCTGCTTCGAGTTTATGTACTTACTTATTATGGTATACTTTCTCTTAGCAGCTGAACCATTTCACCTGCTGTTTTCTAGTGATCACTAGGTCATAGGTCACTAACAGTATAAGAAGAGACAGGTTTACGATTGCCAACATTAGAGAGAAAGTTGGAATAAGACCATGTCTGGACTATACTGACAGACATAGAATATAATGGCTCATCCATCTAGTTAGAATGCACCCAACCCAAACTGTATATGAGACTTTTTACAGCAGAACGTCTGGGAGAAAGGTGAGAGAAAGACCAAGAAAGAGATGGATTAATGGTGAGGCAGAAGATCCATCACTCAAGCCACCCAAAAAGCACCAAACAAATACAGAAAACCACGACATTGGTAACAGTGAGACAATAAAAGAAGTCGACAAAAGAAATAGTTTTCTAATGAAATCTATCGCTGCCACTAGCAAGTTTTGTCATTTCTGTTCTTCTCTCTCCTGGATATGTTGAGCGTTTCATTCTTCTCCAGAATCACATCTCAGTTATAATTCATGTTTTTTTTTTTTTTTAAATAATCATTGTTATTTATGAACAAATTCACCAAACCACCATGCCAGAACATCATTTTTTCTGTGCTTCAAACATACATGGAAAGAAACTTACTCATAGCCAACATCAAAGTTAACATGTAAAAATGTAATTATGGATTCAATGAACAGTTAAACCAGCATTATTTTATGCATAAAACAAATTTTCTTCTTCGCTTTCACAGAAAGTTCTGGTTGTTCGTCCATCTCTGCGCCTTAGTCTTGTTCCAGAACCTGAGTGTTGCACGCACTTTTATTTTACAGATTTGACTTATTTGTATGCAGACTGTTGGTTCCTTGCCACTCAGGCAGATGCACTTTGACTTCGAAGGAAGACCCCAGTTAGTTGACTCTTACAACGTGCTTTTTGGGTAGGAAGTGGGTCTATTCTTCTTTTCCCCACAATGGGTCTTTTGATGTTTTCTTCATCATAGAACTGATTTACTAGTTGTAACTATCAGAATTCAATTATTTTTTTAACTATACTTTTTATAGCAGAACATCTGAGAGGAAAGTGAGAGAAAGACAAAGAAAAGTATGGATAAATGGTGTAGCCAAAACGTGCAAACAAAATGAACAAATCCATCCCCAATCCACCCTGAAAGCGCAAGACAAATACAGAAAACCACGACACTGGGCTACAACCTGGTATAAGTGAGATGACAAAACCACGACACTGGGCTACAACTGGGTATCAGTGGGAGGACAAAACCACGACACTGAGCTACAACCTGGTATCAGTGAGAGGACAAAACCACGAAACTGGACTACAACCTGGTGTCAGTGAGAGGACAAAACCACGACACTGGGTTGCAACCTGGTATCAATGAGAGGACAAAACGCGACACTTGGCTACAACCTGGTATCAGTGAGAGGACAAAACCATGACACTGAGCTACAACCTGGTATCAGTGAGAGGACAAAACCATGACACTGAGCTACAACCTGGTATCAGTGAGAGGACAAAACCATGACACTGAGCTACAACCTGGTATCAGTGAGAGGACAAAACCACAACACAGGGCTAAGTGAGACTACAAAAGAAGAACTATCGGAAGTGCCCTATCAGTGCCAACACATAAACTCTCTGAGATGCCCTGAATCCTTTATCGTTCTCTGCCAGGGTTCTTCATTTTTTTTTAATGTTCACTATCTGCAAACTCTGGCAGAAAGTTTTGGTTGTTCGTTAACTTCTGGACACTGGTCATGTCCCAGAACTTAAGAGTTTTGCATTACTGAAAGCAACCACTAACGAACACTATAAATCGAAATTATAACTATGAGGGATGAACAGGATAGTTTTGTTAAAGTTACTACTACTAGAAGAGAAGACACAAACAATATTGCCTGGTATATTTCGCTGTATCTCGTCAGGTGCACACTACAGTAACAGTATGCCAGATCAAATTGTATTTACTAATTTGAACGCAGCTGGGAAGCTGATAAATGTGGTCAGAACTGATCGACGTTTGGAGAAACGAGTCACTGAGCATATTCCAGTATGGGTGGAAAGAGCCATGCAAAGTAAAAAATGAGAATAACAACAGAAACAATAATTTAACAAACACTACACAGGTGACGGGTCGTAAAGACCCGACCATCCGCAGTAACACACCATACTTTGAACTCTATAAACACACTGTAAAGCATTTCGAGTTCTTCATACGTAGTCCAATTTCTTGAAGCCGCCACAATCCGTTACCTGAGTCCCTAAACTTTGTAAACAGAAAGACTTGGTTCTGACATTGTGGTAAAACACACTTTTGAGTGGGGCTGAATTTGTACTTCAGTTATAAAGGATTCACATATTTGATTTATTTGTTTAATTCAGTGGCTCTCAACTTTCCTAATATAGTTTCCTAACGTTGTGGTAACCCCCAGACAATTGTTTTCCTTCTTAACTTCAATGAACATGTGTTTTCCGAGGGTCTTAGGCGACCCCCGTGAAAGGGTCGTTGGACCCAAAAAAGGGGGTCGCGACCGGTAGGTTGAGAACCGCTGGTTTAATTGTTACTTTAGTATGCACCTGACGAAATACAGCGAAATACTAGGTAGGCACGGTAAGTTGTACCCCACCAGAATATCTTATTTTCTTTTAGTTGCGTATCCTTTACAGGACGTTGCAGAACCAACCCTAACAGCCCCTGGCTGTTGTGTGGTTTCTCTTGACAAATTTACGTCCAGTAGTTTGCCATTGCTTTCTGGGCGGTCGGCTTTCTTGATACCACTGTCGAAACCAACGCAAGGCGCATTGCCCGCAACTTGGATCGAACCCAGCATTACAAAGCGAAGCGTTCGCGTCGAAAAAGCCACAGAGCCGACACCAGGATATCACACAAGCGATAAACACCCGGTGACAAAAAGTGCCACCATGTGGATGAGGACCACCCATGGAGATGTCCCGGAAACCTCGTTCAGCCTTTAGGCCATATTTATGGCCCGGCTATATTTGGGAGCCCCGGCAAAAGTCATAGCGGGGCTTCACAATAACAACAACAACAACAAAATGCATCCCACATGGCGGGGGGGGGGGGGGGGGGGGGGGGGGGGGGGGGGGGAGCGACACTGTATGAGTCAAAATAAACTAGTGCTGACAGTTAAACAAAACACCTGACAATGATTCTCAAACCATCAACCCCCCACCCCCTTCTTTAGGCGCCACAAACAGGTATTTATCCGCCGTTCTCTTGGAACCGTACCAAACTCTGTGACAACCGTCCACCATGATCTCGAAGCTGACCGCACAAAACGATGGGCAGGCTCGTTCGCAGACAAAGTGGAATGCCCGCGGACATACCAGGCAGACGGTCAGTGGCAGACAGAAGGTGGCAGCCAGGACACCGAGGACAATGACCGCGATGAACATTTTGTCGTAGGAGGAGTCGTCGTCCTGAGGTGGCGGCAATAGCTGTTTGTATAAGTGGACATAAGTTAGCTTTAAAACAAACAAACAAAATTTAACGTCTTTGCCAACAAAGGACTACAGGCTACACCTACCTCGTATACTCGCTATGTGTACCCTAATTATAACTTGTTTGGAGGTATCTGGCACGGCCGTCTCCAGATACGGCCACGACCTCCGGAAGCTTTAGAAAAAAAAAAAGCTGGAGACGGTTGGATAAGGCCAAATTGGTCAACGGGAAATTCCCATTTTCGTGAAAGTCCAAGAGGCCGGTCTGTGTTCACTATTTTTTATCGACTATACTTAACCTTATACATAAATTAAACTACAGTTCAAAAAATTTGCAACATAATTTTGTGTGTGAATAATAAATCATTTTGAAGATAAATAAGTGTTCTATTTTTTTTAAAAGCCACATAATAATGCTTCTTGCAGACCAAAAAAAAAATGCATTTACCAACTAACCTAATGCTCACTGCCCCTCATACTCATTATGTCATTGGCAGCATATTCACGTAAGGCTCCTGGCAGGAGTCATATCAAGCTCACCAGTAGAAAGTTTGACCACCACTGTGACACAAAGAGTTACATCCCGGGTGGCGATCCAGCAGGGTAATTTCCAGATACCATGCCGTCTTCAAGAAAGAAAATAGAGCTCCTGCTCTGGCTCATAGGGCAAAGACAAAGATTAGGAGAATAGTCCAAACTAATGATAATTCAGTTTCTCCTAGTGATATCCCAGGCCACGATGTGGCTTGTTACACCTCTTTACGGTGTGATGCAGATAGAAATGGAGAAACTGACCGAAATATTTACAAAATAAAAACAAAGTGGTAAGCGGAGTTTTCATAGCACTAGGAAATGAATGAAAGTGAAGTGAAGTTAAAACTAGCGTTAAACTTAAAATTATCTCTAATGTCAAATAAGTAGTCTTGTGTGGAGCTTAAACATGGAGAACAACTAAAATATTTTACTAATAAGCTGTCATGTAAACTGTCTTCGCGGTGAGGTGGTCAGTCGATTTGCCTCACACTGTGAATGTCATGAGTTCGTTTGACTGCCCCGTCGTTCTGTTCAAGAGTGCACATTTTGTATGGAGATCCCTGGGACCGTGCTGTGTGTGTCAGCTAAATAATCAGAGCGGGAGCCCTTTAGGTCGTGTGTATGTGTGTGTGTGTGTGTGTGTGTGTGTGAGTGTGTGTGTGTGTGAGAGTGTGTGTGTGTGAGAGAGAGAGTGTGTGTGTGTGTGAGAGTGTGTGTGTGAGTGAGTGTGTGTGAGAGTGTGTGTGAGAGAGAGAGTGTGTGTGTGTGAGTGTGTGAGTGTGTGTGAGTGTGTGTGTGAGTGAGTGTGTGTGTGTGTGAGTGAGTGTGTGTGTGAGAGTGTGTGTGTGTGTGAGTGTGTGTGTGAGTGAGTGTGTGTGTGTGAGTGTGTGTGTGAGAGTGTGTGTGTGAATGTGTGTGTGTGAATATGTGTGTGAGTGAGTGTGTTTGTGTGTATGAGTGTGTGTGTGTGTGAGTGTGTGAATATGTGTGTGAGTGAGTGTGTTTGTGTGTATGAGTGTGTGAGTGTGTGAGTGTGTGTGTATGTGTATGAGTGTGTGAGTGTGTGTGTGTATGTATATGAGTGTGTGTGTGAGTGTGTGTGAGTGAGTGAGTGTGTGTGTGTGAGTGAGTGTGTGTGTGTGTGAGTGTGTGTGTGTGAGTGTGTGTGTGTGTGTATGTATATGAGTGTGTGTGTGAGAGTGTGTGTGAGTGAGTGTGTGTGTGTGAGTGAGTGTGTGTGTGTGAGTGTGTGTGTGAGTGAGTGTGTGAGTGTGTGTGTGTGTGTGAGTGTGTGTGTCTGTAGATATATATGTGTGTGTGTCTATAACAAAAATTGACAATGTAATCATTATTACGCATGGAAAAAAGAAGAAAGACAGCACCACACACTAGACAACATTAAGATCGAAAGCTATAGTTACTGAGCCAGGAATCGAACCTGTCATTTCTAAATTGCGTATATGCCTCGCTATGGAAACAAGTGTACTAGGAACACGACCCTTAAAAAGTTGTCTCTATTGGCCATGTCTATAGTACAGCTTGAAATTCAAAACCATGGAATACGGACAGAATTAATCTCAAACCATTGACATGGCACCACGGGTTCCAGATATTTATATTAACCAAGCATAGGTCGAATAACAAACACAACCACACAAACATATCGGACCATAATGCTGTGTCTAGAATACAACAAACATTTAAGAAAGAGATTTGACTGGTCAGTTCCACATGTATTATATGTAATTCACATAAATAATCCGAGGGAAAAAGTGCTGCTGTCTTTCTGCTTCTTCCCATGCGTGCCAGTTAATATAATGTTTATATATATTTCTGACCGGTCCGGACTTTCTTCAAAAGTGACTGGCTCAAATCGACCCAGCATTGAAAGAGTACCAGTAAGGGCGTAGTAAGAAAAGTATAGGTCTAGCCCTATAGACCCAATACGCCTGAATGGTGTGGAAAAGGGTACTTAACTTTTTACCTACTTGCTGGGCCTTCGCGGGCCGGATTTAACACGCGGACCGCCAGTTATTAGGCCTGCTCTAGGCTATATTTCTTACTATAAGTTTTGTTGAATTATGCCAACCTTTGTGGTTTCCTCAGGTTTATCGATCATAAGCGACTTCGTTGGAACCATCTCCTTGAACGGATTGTCGAGAAAGAATTCGTGCAGTTCACTGGTTGTTTCGCTCAGTACTGCTCGGGCCAGCCTGTCTGATACCTGAATAATAATCGATAAAACTTTGACTTTACATTTCAGACTAAGCTAATCACCTGTGACCTGAAATGCTAGAGAAAGGCTGTGTTAAAAAAAAAAAAAAAGAGGCTATACTCCGAATAACGGTCCCAAATTATCAAGGCCGAAAATATACCATCAGGGCCTCAGTCACATGTAAATTGTGCCATGATGTTGTTCTGTTGATTAAACATAAATGACTTTCAAAGACCCCCATCTCGTCGGCTTCGAAAATTCGCAGGAATTCCTAAGATACTAACCCTAACACCCCCCCCCCCAACTCTATACCATGGAACGCTTTGGAGATTTCCCTACTAAATCACGAAGCCGACGAGATGGGGTCGTCTAATACTAAAGTACCTCCATGTGTTCAGATTGACATTAGAATTTTAAATTGTAATGATGTGAATTCCCGGGGAAATCCCAGAGAGTTCCCGATGGGGAGGACAAAGTCAGAGAGCCAGTTATACAAGAGAAAAACAAGATAAGTGGGTCTCGAGTATCCCGTGGTGAGCGAATAAGGAAAACAAGAAAAGAGTGAGACTGGAACGGAAGACGTGAACTGAGAGACGGTAGTAAGACAGTTGAAGTTTAGACTTGGTTGTGAGAGAACACCTGATTAGAATGGAGAACTGGTGACAACGTATAACTGTTTGAGAGAAGATATTAATGTTTCCTAATTAACTGTTTAAACATGTACTAATACCAGGTACAGGGCTTTAGTATGAGATGGATGTGTAATTCCAGAGATACGGATGGAGCAAAACAGTGCGCGAGAGAGTTGACACGGTCGTCAGAATTCAGCCATGCATAACGACCACGAGGGCGAAAGAATGCCCTATCAGTGAGATGTTTGATTCATCGAATAAAGGTCTATAACTGAACATTCGTTTCTGGTGTGTTTTAGCAACTAAGTGTTCATGAATACAGCAATGTGGCGTGTAGAAACATACCCCTAGCAGAGCACATTGCAAAAAATACATAACTTGGTGTGAAAGTAAAAAATTTAGAGTTCTATATTTTGTTAAGACCTTTCAAAGCAAAAAAATAAACATAATAACTTAATATAATGTAGTACCTCACCAAGTCCAATCTCCTTCAGTCTCAAGGCCAAGTAATCATAGGTCAAATTCTTTCCGGGACCTTTGACCCATTCTTTGATTCTGGTTATGCAAGGTCTGTCATCTGGTTTGGTCTTTATAGGCTCTCCAAGAGATGTCCGTATCTTTAAGATAATTATGATGATGATAATATTAATAATAATAATAATAATAATAATAATAATAATAATAATAATAATAATGTAAAGTCTGGAGTTGTGAACCAGCACCATTGCACATGGTTATAAATCATAAGTGCTCTGCCACAGTACGGACAGCTGATAAGAAACTGTCTGTGTCGATGTCCACACGAAACTCCATAGCTAAAGCGACGTCTCCCCATTTACCCCAGAGTGAACTCTGGTACCCATTACCTAGCGGCTTGCTGAAACACAGGAACCGCCCGGTGTCGAACACCGGCCGTGGGCTGCAGCGAGTCGCTGCTGTATTTGAAGGCTGCCGGCCTCCTGATAAAAGTTTTCTCACAGAAAGATCGAAGAAGATAATACAGTAGAACCTCGCTTAACGAGCACATCTCATAACGAGTAATTCGCCTAACGAGCAAAACAAATTGTAAAAGAATGGCTTGCTTAACGAGTGACGTTTTGCATAACGAGTGGCGAGGAGAGGGGAAGTCTCAGATTGTGCGCATGTTACATCAGTCTGTGTATAGCACTCGTTCCAGTAGCATCGCAGTGTCGCTTGTGATCAAATATTTTCTCAAACTTGTGTTATATTGTGATATATGTACATGAATCCTCCAAGCTTACAAGATGACCTTCCTGAAGAATGTAAGTTCATCAAGATCCAGTTTCTGCCTCCCAACACCACTCCGTTACTCCAGCCCATGGACCAGCAAGTTATTTCTAACTAGAAGAAGATTTATACTAAAGCACTCTTCGAGCATTTTCAGGTGACTGAAGGAAAAAACCTCACTCTAAAATAAAGTCCACATCGTCGCCTGCCTAAAGATGATCAACAAGGCGGGGAAGGGGTTACCAAGAAAACACTAACTTCTGCTTGGAAGAAGCTATTGCCGGAGAGCTTTGTCGAATGTGACTTTGAAAGGTTCGAGACAGTACCTGTGGAACCCGTAGTCAACGAAATTGTGTCTTTGGCCACTA